TGGCCGAACCGCTCGCAGGCGAGGATGGGGCGTCAAGAACGCCTTAGCCGTGCTGCTCTCCAAGATCCATCCTGGAATAAACATAAAGTCATTTCAAGCGCCAGCTAGTCATCAGCGTCCCGACCCGTGATCTTTCCCCAGGGTCTCCGTATCGACTTTTTTTCCTGTTTTTGTTTTGTTCACGTTGCAGGCTTTGGGTGTGGATGAACTGACACACGCTATTTCCCCCTCCTGCAGGAAAAGTCGGTTTGAAGGGCCCGAGAAAAAGGGTTGACTGTGATGGTTCCAGGGATGTATTAGAAATAACAGATTATTTTCCCGAGGCCATGTGAGAGCAAATCCTTCTTTCTAAAGGGAGTCGGAAATTGTACCTTAAAGCTTAAGAATAATTAAATATTTGGAAGCAAGTGGTTCCCCCCCCCCCAACGCCCCCACGCCCAATTAAGGTAACCATGGCAAAGTTTGAGAGCCTATACCTGCCAGGTCCTGGTAAAACAGGTATTAGAAGACTTGAGATGTGAAAATACCTCAGGGCTCAACTGCTATGCACTTTCAGAGTTTATTTTCCAAGTCATTGTGTTTGTGTAAATAAGCTTAGCACAATAGGTCAACTTTATCAATCTACTTCCAATCAATCTCAAAAACTAAACCAAACACTCTGTAGCTGTTGGCATGGAAATGAAGAGTATTATTCTAAGATACCAATAAACTAGAGTAGATATTTGAAAAGTTAAGAGTTGAGAGTTAAGTGGTAAACAAAGGAGCTCAAGTACAACTGCAACTTTTTCTTGCCTGTGGCTTAAATCATAATGACTAAGGGCACGTTTTGTGAATTATGCTTCCCTTTTTAAAACATGTCTTTATAGCAACAACAACAACAAAAGAGAAGCTACTTTGCATTACACACAAGCACATGAACAATCAGGCTTCCTCTACCCATTTTCCTAAATATGATATATTCTTGCACGAGCAGAGTAGACTTAGCAAAATGTAAATGTCACTGCACTGGGTATTATAAATAATTAGATTTCCAAAGTCTACGAAAGATGACCATTTCTAAACATCATTTAACACTAAAGCAGCATGCAGTATTTAGAGGCTTTTAATCTGGGGTGGTCTCTGTAGGCCCTTTCATATTTCAGAAACCAGTGTGACGAGCTGTCGCTTTAAACATTGCTCTGAATGTGACATCCTCTGCCTTTGAGATCCTCTTTTACTTTCTCCTCGAACTGAAGTGACTCGAAGTATAAAACAAGTTTGCAATGAGCTATCTACTAGCAGAACAATGCACAAAGTAAAAACGGTGTGTGCAATTCCCGTTGTAAACGTATGGCTACTTTCATGCACTTGAAATTCTACCTGTATGCTAAATGCCTGTCCCAGTTGAATCATAGAATTGAAGCTTTGCATCAGAAGCTACTAGATGGCAATGGGTGAAGGCATTCCACTCATTTCTTTAGGACACAGACATCACACTGGTGAATGTGGGTTGGGGTAAGTATTGTGAATGCTAGTGATGTACAATAGGAATACATATCGCTCTTCATTTTACACATCAGCTTTCCTATTAGTACAGGGCAAGTGGAAAAGTACAAGCCAGAATAGTGGATTTAACTCTCAGTGATCAATGTGAATGCTTAGTTCTTTTCACTCTTGGATATGTCCTCTTGCTTTTCACTATAGCAAATAACAAACATAAATGACCCCTCCCCCCAAATTGCTATTAAAAAATTTTAAAAACAAACATTCAGGACTACTCATAGCCTCAAGTACCCCAATATGGCTTTAACTACTATCATTAGAATGAAGATTATTTTATACCGAAAAATTATTTACCTCAACATTTTAAACAAGAGTCGTTGTTTAAAGAAGGACCAAAAAGCAAACCCCACTGCTGTCAAGTCGATTTCCACTGTACAGGGGGGTGTGGAGCATGGGGGAGAGGGGGTCCAAAGATGTAAATATTTATGGGAATATCAAAACCTCATCTTTTCTTTTTCTCATTCTGCAACCCGCTTCAGTGCCTGAAGCCCATGGGGTAAAGCCAGGCATTGGTTTGGGGTGACAGTTTGCTTTTTCATGGGACACTGTGAGAGGGCCATGGGATCAGACCTGCCACAAATCCATATCCATGCACTAAAACTTCATTTTTCTTTTGGGGAATGGTTGGTGGGTTGTAACTCCTGACCTTAAAACTAGGAGCCCTATGGAACCCACTATACCGCCAGGACCCCTTACCTCAGAAGCACTCAAAAAAATCTAAACTCAACTCACTATCACAAGTCGATTCTAACACATAGGGATCCTATATTTATCAGACAAGCATACAAACACGACTTTTTTCTTCTTTTTTTGAGTGAAAGAGGTCTCCGTAGTTAATAACTACAAACAAGCTGGGGCAAGTATTAAAAACAAAAACAAAATAGGTTGTCACCCTACTCCAGAGACATTTGTAAAGACTGTAGGAAATCTCGGGAATGTGTGTGGGGTGGGATGGGGTGGGGTGAGGGGTGTGGAGGTGGGGTTTCTTACCATCAAAGTAAGTGTAGTGGTCTAATTAATTCTGGGCTAGCAGCTATACTCCACAAAGTTATTGTATAGCGCTTGATTTGAGAGGGCTCGGGTTACCATTCCAGATAAAAACATAGATAACCATCTAAAAAGTTAAACCACAATACTGAAAGCAATGCTTGCAAAGTCAACTGTCTTATGGCAAAATCTCCTTTCTCTGTTGGGAGTCTCACCCCAATGCATGAAGAACAAGCTTAGACTCGCAGTGAGGAGAAAGAGGAACAGGGTTCAAAGAGGAACAGGGTTCAAAGAGCAGGAGTTCCAAACTTCTCCAGGGTAGGTTTGGCCAAATTTGGTTGTTCGAATTTGATCAGAGCAACTAGCCCCTGGAACCAGGCCAGAAGTGGAGGGCAACACACGAATGCTGAAGCAAGTGGGGTACAGGTAACCCATTCCTGTGCCCACTCTGTGTTCACAGTTTGCCTTGAGAGCAAAAACAGAGTCTCATACTGGTTCCCTTAGGCCAGTGTTGCCCTAATACATAAGTTTGACCTCCTCTTCCCCATTTTCACCACAAAGACATACTCTCTGCAATTAAAAAGTGTGACTCATCCCACTTCCCAGGCTAGATGTTCTTTATGTGCTTCTTACATTTTTATGAAAACATATAAAGATATAGAAGTATATTTCTATATTTATGTATATATATGTACCAGTCATCTTACATATGGCAGAAGTCTTAACTCATTGACGTATTCAAAAATATCTCTTCTTCCTTTCCTTCCTGCGATATCAAAGACGATGCTTCCCAATCCGTTGGCAATTATGTGAAGTCATTTACTCTTCTGGCCAAAGACATGTGGGCAGGGGTGATGTGGGTCACTTCTAGTCTAAGATTAAAAAAAGGCTTCTAGACTCTTCTGAGTCTCTCAAGTCCTCTCTCCAGTTAAGAAGGGGGCCTTACATTGAAGTGGTGAAACCACAGATTGAAGGTTCTTTGCTTGGTGTAGTGAATTCCCACATGGGGGACAGTTGCCCTGGAAAGTTACCCTGACTCACAGCAGATTTTATTTGAGCAGAAACTAAACATAGATTCTGTTAAACTACTTGATTTATTTGTTATCACAACATAACATAATCCCTTCTGACTAAATTCACACTGTCCACTCCCCTACTTAGGGAAAGGTGTTCTTGGACAACCTTACAGCATGAAGTCACTGATACTGTATTTTCTCCTATCACTAAAATCTATTTCAGCTAGAGTGACTGTTGCAGCCAGGGAAAGAACTAGATCCTTGGAGGATAGATAAGAAAGAGCTAAAGTGAGTGGCCCTATCACTTCTAGAATGGGAATGGACACTTAATTTTACCAACGGAACATCCATCGTATGCGAGGTGATGTTATTAAGTGGAAGCTATAAGGGAACAACATAATTTTACAGTTCCAGAACATTTTGATTTAGACTATAAGGAAACCAAACGGTAACAATGGCAAGGATAATGATCTTCTTTAGAAGTAGAGATAGAGTTCCTCTCTCTGTGGCAGCCATGGCATTTCAGCGTTGATGCGCTCTTTTCCTCCTGCTGGTCCTGTTATTGCAGGGATCTCTGGTCTGGAGCTTCTCAAGGGTCCTGCCAAGAGGGCTGCTATGACTGTGGCTGCTGCTTAGGGTCACAGACGGAGACTGCCCCGGCTTTTGTGGATAAGTCTGTTCAGAGGCCTGAAAGCAGAGAATCTGCGAGGAATTCAGAAGTCTGCAGTGATCACGTCTCCCATTTAGTGACTCAAAGGGGCAGGTAAAATCAGGTAACTAAATAAAAGATTTGGATGTTACCCAGAATCTGAAAAAAATTTTAAACATCAAAATTTATCTCAGCAAAATTGAGTTTATAAAATCTCAGTTTTAGTTTGTTTCTGATATCCCAGGCTTATTCACACTTTCTTTTTGTCCCATTCCTTATATATTTGGGGTTGCTGTAACAGAAATGCCATAAACAAATGAATTCCTCACAGAACAAAAGTTTTCAGGTCTGACCGCAGGGTACTGACTCTAGGGAAAGGCTTTCTCTGACAGTACTGGGAGCGAGGGGTGGGACGGGGGTGAGGTGGGGGAGGTTGGGGGCGGCATCTTTGTCTTTTCAGCTTGTTTTCTGGTCCCTCATAGATTTCCATGTGGCTTGACATTAATCTTCCACCAGCTCTGCTTCTCAGCTTGCTTGTTTAATCTCCTTGATATATCAAAAGAGATTCAATCAAGATACACCTTACATTGACCTTGCCTCATTCACATAACAAAAGAACCCATTGCCTAATGGGATTATAATCTCAGATATAGAAGTCTGAAAAATGCCCCCACCCCCACCCCACCCCAGGTAGGGCACATTTCAATCCCAAACAAAGCAGACAATAAAGGAAAACAAGTGCTTGAACCAATTTTAGAAAATCCCCCCAGACTTGACTCCCCTTCATTCCAATCCATGTGTGTCCAAGTAGAGCTGCTCTCCGCAGGATTTTCTGTCAAGGTTGATCTTTTTCTGAAGTAGATTATCGCCAGATCTTCCTTTCCAAGCAGCCCTGGGTGAAGTTAGACCGCCAACTTCCTGTTTAACACAAGTGTGGAGTCCCCATAAGGTAAACTCTTATGGGGCTCTGCTGCCAACCATCCTGCAGATGCCCAGAGCCTTCTGACAGGACCTAGCGATTTGCCATCGAAAACCCACAGAGCACCAAGAAAACAATGCCAAAAATCAACTCACCACCTTGGAGTCTATGGTGACCCACAGTGATGCTCCAGGACAGGGTCGAACTGCCCCTGCGGGTTTCCATCAGTGTAACTCTTTACAGGCCTCATCTCTCTCATGAAGGGCTCCTGGTGGTTTCGATGGCTGACCTTGAGGTTAGCCGCCCAGTGTGTAACCACTATGCCAACAGAGCCTTTGCTAGGGAGCACAGCGCTACCTTATTACACAGGGAGTAACCAAGATGCCAAATCACCTTGCTGGCAATTGGTTTGAGACAGGTTGCTGCTGCTGCTGCTGCTGCTGTTGTTAGGGGCTGCCAACTCACTTCTGACTCACAGACCTGGTGCCACCAGGGCACTTTTGGCTCACCCTGGGTTCAACGGAACCAAACACTGCACGCTCTTGCATCATCCTCACAACTGTTGCTAAATTTGAGCCCAATAGCAGCCTCAGTGTCATGCCTTCTGGTGGAGAGTCTGGTTCTTTTTTCCAGACCCTCTGCTTTACCATGCATGATGTCCTTCTCTAGAAACTGGTCCCTCCTAATCACATGTCCAAAGTCTCACCAGCTTTGCTTCTAAGGAGCCTTCTGGATGCACTTCTTCCAAGATGGATGTGTGCGTTCCTAAGGTAGTCCGTGGTCATTTTAATAATCTTTGCCCAAACCATAATCTGAAGACATCCGTTTTTCTCCTGTCTGCATTACTCATTACCCTTATCATGCATAAGGCAATGGAAAACGCCACAGCTTGGCTTGGATACACCTTAGTCCTTAAGGGGACCTCTTTGCTTTGTTACATTTTTAAGAGATCTTTTGCAGCAGATTGGGCCAACACAAAATATGGGTGGATTTCTTGACTGCTGTTTAGACAGACATTGATTATGGGTCCTAATGAAATGAAATCCTTGACAACATCAATCTTTATCAATATCTGTTTATCAAGATATCGCTTACTGGTTCAGTTGTGTTTTTATTTTCTTTGGGTGGAGGTATAATCTAATCTATCCTGAGGACTGTGGTCTTGGACCTTCCTCGGCCAGTCAGGTGCTTTTTATCTGCATACTACAGATTGTTAATAAATCTTCCTCCAATCCTGATTCTGAGTCCTGTTTTATATAGTCTAGCTTCTGGGATTATTTTTCCAGCATACAGTGTGAATAAGTACAGTGGAAGGATACAACCCTGATGCACACCTCTCCTGTTTAAAAGTATGCAGTGACCCCTTGTTTGATTCTAATGATGCCACCTGGTCTATGTACAGGTTCTGCATTAGTCCAATTAGGTGTTCTGAAATTCCCATTCTGCTATCCATGAGTTGTTATGACCCACACAATCAAAATTTCTTTTCACAGTCAATAAAACTCACAGCCATCATCAATTCCAACCCATAAGGACCTTTTAGGACAGAGTAGAATTGCCCCTGTGCATTGCCCCGGCTTTAACTCTTTACGAGAGTAGAAAGTCTTACGTTTCTCTCAAGGAGTGGCTGGTGATTTCAAACTGCTGGCCTTGTGGTTAGCAGCCCAATAGTAATCTGCTATACTTCCGAGGAACCTATAAAACACAATAACTGGCTTCAATTTCCTTTACCCAAAAAATCAGTGATATTCCCCATGTCTTCTTTATGGTACAATGGGATTACATGCATCAGTAACTCTGAAAACTCTTTAATTTGTCTTGAGATGTTTCCCTGTATGCCCATAACCTCTTCCTTATGGATTGTACAAAATTCCTTTTTTTAAAGGATAGTCTCAATCAGTTACTTCAAAAATTATAACTAACTTTCAAAATATATTCTAATAGACTGGCTTCTATATTTTGTTATAACATATACTTTTGAATTACTGCTGGGTCTTGAGGGTAAGTTGTTATTAATGCATA